ATATGATGCAGGGATTGTCATATCTGTATTATATATATATATATATATATACACATACATACACACACACACACACACACACATATATATAATCTGACAATGTAAAAGTGCTATGGATAAAATAATGTCTAGAGACCTGCAAAAGGCAGCTTAACTGTGCCCCAAGAAGGTTCACTTAGCTGTCACTTGCCAGGAAAGCGCACGAAATGCAGTGGGATAAATACTAAATATTTTTACTTTACTCATTGTCTGCTGAAGTGTAACATTATTCAAATAGGATTCATACTTGAATTACATGCAAATAAAACAAGCCAAATATTTTTCAGTAACATGGATTTTTTTAATTGGCATATTAAATTCTTTGCCCACCCCCTACCACACACACTCCAGGCCAAGTAACTACTCCAGTAACTTTGATTAAGCCTTTTGTAGAATTATGACTTGGTGAGCTTTTTAAAGGAGAAAGGGATTGAACGCCAGGTGGGATTTAGCCAAAGCTGTCACAGCTCTGGTTGTTACCCCTCATAATCCATCTTACTGAATCAAAAAACAAACTGTGAACAAACAGCTTAGGCAGTTTGTTTGAAGATACACTCCTGTCTTTCTAGGGGAGGTTAAGTCATGCTACAGTTTGTTTAGAAAATGATTATCCATATGAAAATTATTAAATTCATGTGGTATCTTTTTGAGCCAAAATATTTTATAACTTTTCACTGTTGGATCATAGTGATAACAATGACAAAATCTCTATACTGAAATAATAGACCCTTTCCACGGTCTTTCAAAAACATTGTCAAATTTTTCACATTTGCCATAAAAATATGGAAGATGTTAATTTTCAAACTTTTAAGTAATAAGGTCTCAGGTTCTTTAAACAAGGAGGAATTATAGCAATACTGAACACGGAAAGGGATTATTTTTAGCATTTATCCCATAAAAGTGGCCTCCATAAAAGCTACCTTCATATCCTGCTACAACAGGGGAAACAGATTAGGTGGCTCAGAGCTTGAACAAAAAGGAAAGAATATAGCCAATTCTCTGATACATTTCAGAAGTAAAAGTGTTTTCTCAAAACTAGAGCAATGTTAAATTTTTATCATGGGAAATGGATCTCAATCTTGGGAAGCAAAATAATCTTTTTAACTATATAAGCAAACAGCCTCCTTTGTTTCATCAAAAATTGTACTTTTTGACACTCAAGGTATTTTTTTATATTCAAGTAACACTTGATTTGACATAGGAGGTAGGTCATCATTCAACAAACTCTAAGTGGTTGGTATGCATCAAGGTCTTAGAAATGGATAAATTCTCAAAAGTATACAACCTACCAAGACTTACTCAGGAAGAAAAGGAAAAATCCCAATAGCCCAATCACCAGTAAGGAAACTGAAACACTAACCAAAAGTCTTCCAAAAAACAAAAGTTCAGGATCAAATAAATTCACTCAAAAATTATACCAAATATTCAATGATGATCTTATATCTATCCTTCATAAACTCTCCCCCACAAAAAAAAAAAAAAAAAAAAAAAAGCAGAAGCGTAGTGGAAACTTACTAACTCATTGTATGAGGGCAACCTTACTCTGATTCCAATCTCCATGAAGACATAACAAAAAAAAATGTAAACTACAGAGCAATATCTCTAATGAAAACAGCTGACTATTCATAAAAAAATTACCAAGTTGAATTCAATAATACGTTAAAAGAATCATATACTATGATCCAGTGTGATTTATTGCAGAGATGCAAGGATGATCCAACATGCACTAATCGATCAATGTACTACACAAATTAACAAAATGAGGGATAAAAACATATGATTATCACAATAGACACAAAAGCATTTAACATGAATTAATACTAATTTATGATAAAAAACACATATGCATAAAAGGAAAGTACCTCAATAGACCATGTATGACAAACCCAAAACTAGCATTATATTCAATGTGAAAAATTGAAAACTTTTCCTCTAATATCAAGAATAACACAAGGATGCCAACTATTACCTCTACTACTCAGTCTTGTATTTTATGTCTTAGGCAGGGCAACTAGACAAGAAAAAAGAAATAAAAGGAATACAAATAGGAAAGAAATAAAGCTGTCACTATTTGCAGATGACATTTTCTGCATACATATGTAACCTAAAAGACCTAAAAAAAAAATCTATTAGAAATAAATGAACACAATAAAATTGTAGACTACAAAATCAATATATAAAAATTGGTTGCATTTCTATAGACAAATGATGAACCAATAGAAATAAAAGTTAAGGAAATTCTGTTATCAATCTCAACAAAAGAAGGTTAAAGACATGTATGCTGAAAACTTAAAATACTACCAAAAGAAACAGAAAAAGACACAAACCAAGAGAAACATACCTGCCCCTATGGATGGAGAAATTAACATATTAAAGATAGCCTTTTTGTGTAAAGCAATATACAGATTTAATGCAATCCCTACCAACTACTCAATGGGACTCATCACAAAAGAAGAATCTAAAAATCATAAAATTTATTGCCAGCTACAAAAAACATCAAATAACCAAAATATTCCCAAGAAAATGGTGCAGTTATACTCCCTTACATCGACCTCTACTACAAAGTGATTGTGCTCAAGATACAAGGTATTAGAATAAAAGCAGACACACCCACCATGAAACAGAAATAAGGGGTAGAAATATCCCTGTATTTATATGACAACTAATTTATGACAAAAAGCTAAGAACATGAACTAGAATAAAGAGAGTCCCTTCAATAAATTGTGTTATAAAAACTGGACAGTCACATATAAAAGACTACTATCTCATACCATGCACAAAAGTTACTTTAAAAAGGATTTAAGACAGGTATATAAGGCCTGACCCCATAAAATAAGAAAAGAAAACATAAACGGCAAACTTTTTAGTGATGTCCTTATGGATATGTCTCCAACATATAAGGAAACAAAATCAAAGATTAACAATATAACTACATTAAAAAAAAAACTTCTATATATCAAAAGAAACCATCATGAAAACAAAAGGATGGGCTGCTTAATGGGAAAAGATATATGTAAAATGTATATGAGAGAAGGAGTTAATATCCAAAATTTATATGAATCATAAAAATCAACAACAAAAGCTAACCAAATTTTAAAAATGAGATGAGGATTTGAAGACAATTCACCAAAAAAGACATAGAGATGGCCAACAAGTACATGACATGAAAACATGTTCACCATCTCTTAGTGTTAGAAAAACTCAAATCAAAACAATGACATATTGCTGCCTCACACAGTAAGAAAGGCTATTGTCCAAAAGACAAAAGACAAGTGTTGGCAAGGATGAGAAAAAAAAGGACCCTTAATACACTGTTGGTAGGAATGCTATTTGAGGCCACCAATATGGAAAACAGTATGGGTATTCCTCAAAATATTAAGGATAGAAATATCATATGATCTAGCAGTCCCACATCTGGCTGGGTACTTTTACAAAAGAGACATATGAATCCCCATGTTCATCAAAACGGTTTTCCCAATAACCAAGAGTTGAAAACAGCCTTCCCAGAGGAGTGGCTAAGATGTGGTATCTATACACAATGAAATACTACACAATGAAGTGGGGGATAAAGAGGAATTTCTGAAATTTTTATATTTGCAGGAACTTCAACAACCTGGAGTGTATTATGCTAAAAGGAATAAATGAGATGAAGAAAAATTAGTAGTATATGATCTCACTCATACCTGGTTGATAAAGAAACAATTGAACAAACAAAACCTATAAGAGTACACAAACAAAATAGTAGTTACCATAATGGAGGAGTAAGGGATATGCTAAATGGGCAATAGGATTTAATCCTATGATTATTGCTGGAAGTTACTTTTGCTGATGAACATAATGTAGTATATATAGATGTCTGTTACCCATATAATGTCATAAACCACATTTAGCACAAATAAGACAAAAGGAAAAAGGAAATGCCTACAGACCTATCTCTGGAAAACCTCACATCCTGCTACCCTGGATATTGCAGGGCAAGAAAAAAAGCTCTGCCTCTTCTCTCAATCCACCAATGCCAGTGCTTTTATTGCTCTGTACCTGCAGTTTCCACCTACAGTTCTTACCAGACTCACTGCCAGATCCCACTGGATCAGGAAGTTAAAGCTAATATTGGTGCTTCTGAAAACAGCCAGCAGACTGCATGAGTCTTCTAGGCACAAGGCCCGTAGAAAATCAGAGATGAGGCCTCTTTGATTTTGTGTACGACTTGCACTTTGACTTATCACTGTCCTGACTTCCTAGGCACTGGCAGGCCCATGCAGTTACTGCATGAGAGGCCACAGCCTCAAGACTTGTTCACTCCGATCCTCACAGTCACCATATTAGTAAATACCAGCATCTCTACATAGAATAGACGAGATGTGCTGCAATGCAAGCCACTGGCCACACAGCCAACACAAGGCGAAGCCTTCACAGGCCTCAATATTGTTACGCTATTGATTCCTATGATCACCGCTGGAATTGGGTGGGCTGCCCACGGCAGAGGGGGCTCAAGTACCAGCACTGCAGACAGGTCCAGACCCAAGGTCTCGGAGAGTGTCTTCGGAGGCTGCAGCCAGGCTTGGCAGGATGGGGGACAGCGAGGAGAGGCTGTGAACAGCCAGGACCCCAACCTGGGATGGAAATGGCAGACAACGGAGGACAGCATCAGGGCAGGGAGAGAGGCTCGGGCTTCCAGAAACCTCCCAGAATCTCATCTTGGAAGTTGGTCTCACCTCTTGCTGCAGAAACGATGGACACAGAACCCGGAAGCCAAAAGCCAGGAACCCACTAAGCTGCGGGGCCCCGCCAAGAAGCCAAACACCGCTGCGCTCAGACCCCGCCCCCGCGTCAGGCCCCGCCCCCGCGTCAGGCCCCGCCCCCGCGTCAGGCCCCGCCCCACGTCAGGCCCCGCCCCCGGTGACCCCGCCCCGGGCGCGCTGGGCGGGGCCTCGCCTGCGCCTCCTTCCGTTGCTCCCGGCTCCTCGCAGCGCCTGCTGCGCGCCGGGCTCAGGGCCCTGGGCCTGGGCCTCACGGAAGGTAAATGGCGGCGCTACACTGCAAGGCGGTGTCCAAAGTCTGGGGTCTGCGAAGCAAGGACGGAGGCGGCGCGGGAGCGCTGGGCACCGCAGCCGAGGAGACTTTTCCGTGCAACGGGAGGAAAGAGAAAGGACTCATGTGTTCAAATGAATAGAAGGAGTGAGACGAAGTGGGTGGCATCAAAATGGTCCGCGGAAAAAGGGAATTGAACAAGAAACTAACAGCCGGACTCTCTGCCTCGGGGCAGGTGCCTGAGAGAGCCTGACATGCATGGGGGAGCCTCTGAGCAATTCCTCGCTCTCCCATGTCCGTCCTGGGTGCCCTCCCACCACTGTCCCCTGCGGAGCCCTCCCCCGATGGGTGTTTCCTACAGCTCTAAGCTTCGGTCAACAGCCTGATTCTGGACGCGAGCCAGAAATGGGAGCAAGCGTTCATTCGGCTTCTGGAAATAGTCCCTCCGTTGTCCTTGAGCGCACTGTTACCCCATTCTCAGTCCCTGCGCAGTGGTCCTCGTTCCCCAACACTCCCCTGAGAAGAATAAGTATGTGACTCAGATGTGGCAGAAAAAATCATATCCTTCCTTTGGCCTCAGTGATTGATCAGGAATGGGCATGTGACTGAACTGGAGATTATAAGACAAGAAGGGTCTTTTAGTGGGAGGGACACGTGTTTTAGCTGCATCTGAGCCTTGGGGGATCAGGCTATGAATTGACCAGACAGAACATCTTACAATGAAGTCAGCCCAGAACTTAGAGCCAGGAAGTAGAGAGAAACTGAATCATGATGGCATCAGCTGAACCCTAACATGAACCCTGAACCCTAATTGTGAACCTGTTACTTGATACCACCCTTAGTACCAGACTTTCTCAGATACGTGAGTGAAAATTCTTTTATGAGTGTGTTTAATTGCATTTACTATCATCCAAAAATTACTTCCAATGTAAGGGGACTTTCGATCCCTGGCTTCCTCTTCCGTTCAAGCACACTAAATCGATATATTACCTTCTCTGTCGTTCAGGTCACCCTTCTACAAGAGGAATAAAGAAACCTAGTAGAAAGGATTGGAAATATTAAATAAGGCTCAAAGTCCCCATTTAAAAAGGGTAAAAGATAGCCATTAAGAGTCACTACTGGAGACCTTTTATTTTTTTAGTCTTCATTGCCAAACAAATACATAGGGATAGAGAAAGGGCCTCTGTTATTAAGTCCATCGTGGTTGGACATCATGGGATGTTCATTGCCCATGCCTATTTGGCACATTAAAAGACCAGTGGCTGCACAGTCTTTGTGCCAAGTATGAGCAATGTAGTGTTTTGCAAAACCTCCCAAGATATTGGATGTTTCTTCAGAACATCCAGCTAAATATTCTCCCACATGAGAGTCAGGACAGGACTATACCTCATAATTTCTTTTTAGGGACAGGAGACATGACAGCCATTAACAACCCCATGATACCAAAAGCCCAGAAATTCCTGTTAAGCAAAGGAGGAAAATAACTTTTACTCCCTCTGGAGTCCCCATTGGCAGGGAGTACAAACAGCAATCAATAGCTTGATAACTGGGCCTCCCCTGGTGGCTCAGGCGGTTGAGCACCGCCCTGTGAAGCTGTCTGCAGTCTCTGCAGCACTAGTTCGATCCCGGCCAGCCAGCGAGGGTTCCACATGGCAGGGCAGACCTCTCCTGTCTCGCCCGCTGCTCCCCTCAGCAGTGTATTTCATCAGCCTGCCTGTTCTGTTCCCCACTCTGTCTCTCGTGAATCCTCTCACCCTCCTGCACATCTGGTCTGTACCCCTTGTATAAAATAAATAAATCTTAAAAAATTAAAAAAAAATAACTTGATAACTTATAATGCCTCAGGTGAAGTTTGCCTAAAGCAAGAGCAGAATTCCCACAGAGGAAATTACCCATTCTTACCATTGTTAGCCCAACCTCCCTCCTACAGTGAAGCACCTGCTAATGTCACAATGATCAATTCCTTCCCTGTCTCTTACCACTATGAAGGAAGGAAAAGACCTGGAGTCTCTTGGGAAAGTTAAGGGGACAGCTTCCACAAGTCTCTGAACTGCCATTTGGCCTCCTAATGAAGACCAAATGTGTCCTTGTGACACCAGGAATATAATAGCCTAATTTTGGCATTGATCCAGGGTCAAGGGATTTTTCTAGAAGAAATGTGTCAGGAAACAAACCCCTTCTCATTGCCTGGGCCCCTTCTTTGAAATGGCAGATTAGGGCACTGTTCTCAGCATTAAACCTTAGTAAAGTAAAGGAAAGGAATCTTACCCCTTTGGCAGTCCCTGTACCAGTGAAATTCTCAATGCTTAAAACTGGCATCTAGCGTCCACATGCCCAATCCGTATATACCAAGGTACCTATCAATTCATGCATGTTCTTTGCCCTGACATTAGATTCAGAGTGTGGGTTCGAGGTTGTAAGAATTCAGGCAGCTCATTTCCATTGCATCTTTTGTCTGTGACATTCGTCAGGTTCCACACCATATCACCCTGAAATTTCACAGCCCTTTGATCCCTGAGTATGTTCACAAAGTGTTTGAAATCTTTTAACACGGAAACAGCCTCACCTTTCTAGACATTGTTCAGCTGATACACAGTTCTACTTCATATGACACTTCTGCTTTCACATTGAAACAGGAATCTGGGAAAAGGAAAAATGGTTCTAAAAGCAAAAAAAAAAAAAGTATGGCATCACTCCTGAATAGTGCTGTCATCTCATTTGAATAGGTCACTTCCTCGATATCCTGAGGTTGAAAATTCACTCTCATTATTTCATCTATTCTTGCTGTGAATGCAAGCATTATATACCAGGTATAACATGATATTTTACTCCAGGCCAGTATCTCTTCCCATTAAACTGCCTCATCTCTTTTGATTGGAAGTCCATGCGTCATTGGCACATGGAAAACTCCTGGAATGAGTCATATTATTCCCAGGGTTTCCTGCCCCTTAAGCCTGAAGACTAAGAGGGTTAGTGAGATGGTTCTAAGAGTTCCTTTCACATAACCATTCATAGTAAACTCATATCACCTTATATCTGTGCCATTTTCCTCCTCCTCTTTCAATGCCCCACACTTTTTGATGTTTTTCTTACAGGCTGCACCTCCATGCAGCCTCAGTTTTTACCTTGATGACATGGATATGGGTGAGGTGAAGGATCTGCTTGTCACTTTATCTACTTTTGCTTCAGTGTACTAAGTGGAATGTCCTAAAATAACCTTTGTGTTAGGAAGACTTCAAAGAAGGCTTCAATAATCCCCACCTTTTAATATTCACAAGAACATGAAATTAAATCTCCCCATGAGTGTAGGTGGGACTTAGTGATTTAGTTCTAAAATGAGAGAAAGGTTATGGGTGTCATTTCATTTAATTATACTAAAGATTGTAACTTCTGTCTTACTAGCAGACTCCCAGTTTTGAGGAAGCAAAGCTGCCATATTGGAATGACGCACATGACATGGGCATGGAATTGCCAAGCTAATTCCAGCTAATAGAAAACAAGGAATTGAGGGCCTCATTCTATCATACCTTAAGAAAACGAGCCCTTCCAGCAACTGCTTAACTGAACACAGAAGTGGATCCTTGATCCTTCCCCATTCAAACCTGCAGATGAGAGCCAAGCCCCAGCTGACATCTTGACAGCCTTGTGAGAGAACCTGAAGCAGAGAACCCAGGTAAGCCTTGCCTGGATTCCTAACCCACAAAAACTGAGATAAACAATGTTTTTAAAAGCACTAAATTTTGAGATATTCATTCCACAGCAGTAGATTATGAATACACCCTAAATTACTATTCCATTGGTGTAAGGTATAGCATGGCTTTAGTACAGGCACCACAGAGGGAAGCAAGCTCCTTGACAAGTTCCTGCACATGTTGTCTTCACACTCAATACTGTCTCATACTTTCTTATTCTAGAATATATCATTATGTTCCACAAAGGCCTGAGTAGACTCGAGAAGCAGGATCTAGATCTGGCGGTGTTGGATGGAATGAGTGACCAGTGTGGAGTCATGAGTAGAGATGATGGTGTGATTCTTGCCCTCTGATTTTCATCCTTTCCCACTTACTCCACTATTATAGTTTCCTTATTCTTTGATTCAGTTCCCCCACATTCTGAGTGACTCTCTGTTGAAAATCACTACAAGTGATGACCAGGTAATCACTTGACCTTGCAATATTGTCATCAAACTAGACATTCTGAAGATATTCCCCAAGGAATAGCTTTTCACATTCATTCCCGTTGCTTGAGGGATTTTCACAAGCATGGAGACCTTGCTGTGGAACTCAAAATATACCTTTCAGAAACTTAAAACCCCACATATCACAGATTTTGCAGCCATCACACATCTATTTTCTAGATTCTGCCCTCACCAACCCAGTTCCACAACAGCGAAACTTATTCATGTACAACTACTCAGTGACCTCCCACCTGTCAGATACTCTGGAATCAGCAACATTTTCTAAATGAAAGTAAGCTGCTATTTGTCAGAAAAGAAAATGTACACCCCTGATCCTTTCCAGCAATGCAGGTTCCATACTGCTTTATTAGGGTAAAGTAAAGGGAGAGAATGAACTGCTCTCCATCCTCATTAAGGTAAGGTAAGAAGTAGGGGACATGGCCCAAACCACAAATTTCCTAAAGGAGAGAAGGCTCTTGGGAGTAGACGACATTCATTCTTCACCAGGAAGCACAAAGGGAAGATTTTTACCTATCATTTACCTCAGGGCCTAAACACCCCCACATATGCAATTCCCCAACATTCTGGAGGCCACAAGGGAGATCTCTGACTATATTATGCTAGAGTAACCCACCCCATAAATATATAGTGAAGGAGCAGGTGAAAATATAGTTTAGGTCAAAGTCTGGACTTTTAAGTTTTTTTCCTCACTTTGGAAAAGCCTGAAGGTTTTTATTGTTTCCATTGAAAAAATTGAGTCTAACATACAAAAAATCTGCACAGAATCTAATAAAGGACTCCAGGGTCAAACTGAGAAGGCCACTGTCTCACTACCTACTAAGGACTGGTTAGCTTTTAGAAACCAAAAAACAAAATCATTGAGAACGGAACTAACCCCTTCCTCTCCCTATACACAGGTCCTGAAATATCCAAAACCCATGCTCTCATAAAGCACACAGAGAATACCACTCACTATTAGAAGAATCATTTATTGAAGAGAATCAGTCAGTGTTCTGGTTGTGCTAAAAAAAACTTGTCCTTATCAGAGGCTATATTCCCAAAGAACTGGAACTTTTTCAACAAAGACTGAATAAACTCTATGAGAAAATTTTTTCTTTCTGAAAGTGCTGGAGAAGAGTTTTCTGTTTGAATAGAAGAGTCAAATCTCTCATCACAGTGTCCTCATCAGTGGGAAGGGTGGCTGAAGAGACCTGACATACTTGATGTACACAGATGGGGCTTGGATGAGGCATTGACTCCCTGAAGGATGGGGAAGGGCATGGACTCTCCCAGAAAATCTGGCCTGGAAAGGCCACTACTCTCTGAGGATGTTTTATCCTGCTTCCATCCTGTCTAACATTTGAAAGACAGCTCTGGTCAGCAGAGGCAGCTTCTTTGCTGCTGGCCTTCATACTTGCCCATTCCCTTTGTTGTGGGTCAGATAAAGTCACTTCATTTAAGGGATTTCCCTTTTTGGACTCTATTTTTTCCTGATGTCTTAACTCTGAGCCATCGGATTCATACGCACCTGCCACTTTTTTCTCTAGGATCTTCCCAATGGCTGTCATAAGCTCAATTGCTTCAGGAGATTCATAACTCATAAAGACAGTTGCACTTTCAAGTGGGTCTTGATGCTGTGCAATAGTTGACATGAACTTGACTTTTGGTGGGGAACTTTCCCGTCCTGTGTTTCTTCGTTTGCAATCAAGCCACTGAAATAATTGTCTCATCTTTTTTCTGAGGTAACTTTCACTAGAAAACTGTACATTCTCTGACAGAGATGGGGAAGTGTCTTCTAATTCTCCATCCTCAACAGTCTCTCTTTTCTTTCTGCCTTTCAGTGTCCCTCTTCCTGAATCCTCACTTCCCTGTGAAGTGAGGACTTCAGATGGTCCTCTGTCTTTTAAGGCCACTCTCTTCGCATCTGGCAAGACGTTCTTACCCTGGCACCTCCTGAAAACTTGTTCAGGGACTCTACTATCCTGTATCTGTTCCATGCTCATCCCACTGTTCTCCACATGGGCATGTAGCTCCCGGGAAACTTCCATGTCCCCACAGGAGATATTCTGGAAATGAGTCTGTGAGGACTTGTGGGTAAATTTATCTGAATAAAGGTGCATGTCATTAGATTGACCTTGGGCCTTGCTCTGCTTCCCACTCTCCAGTTTAAACTTTAATTCATGACAATCTTTTGATTCATCATCTCTGAAATCCAGTATTTCTGTTGAGGGGCATTTAGTGGTCAAGGTAGTTTCTGCTTTAATCATATTGATATTTATCTCTTGGGAACTTCCTGTCTCTGTAGTTGTCAAGATGTCACTAGATGGTGATTGACGAGCACACAGCTCTTCAGCCTTGAATATCTCCCTGGACACACTAAGCATGGAAAAATGTTCTGAATTCTTCTCCATCTTCATTTCATTCTGAACCATTTCTACCCTAAAACTAGAACTCACATTCTTTTCCATTGGCTCATATCCAGCATCAGCCAGTCTTGTGGGTACTTCTGGGCTGCATTTATAGTCTAGTACAGTTTCAGTCTGAATGGCTTTGTCACTGATGCTGGTTGTGACAGACTGAGAAGTCTGTCTGCCATCCTTAATGCTGTCAAGATATGTAAGCTCATTCTTGACATCAAAGAGTGATAGTTTCAGGTCTTCCTGTTCTTCACTGCCTACACATGGGATAGCTGGGCAAGGTTGGTCCAAGCTGGAGACTGATTTTGTTCTCATATTGTTTCCCTGAAAAGTTTTAGAGCTTCCCTCAAGGGACTTAGAAATATCACCTTTGAAAGCCACACCAGAAATACAGGCAGCTGAGGAGAGAAAGTCAAATTGGGGCAGAGGCCATGTTTTGGCTTCTCTCAGCATATAGAATTTTATGGATTCACGAACCTTGAGGGGCAGGCCCCACATCTGATTTACCTGAAATCTTATAATATGGGATTCTAGAACCTGTCGAGTATTAGAATCAAGAAAACAAGGCTCTATGGTAGTAATCTGGCAGTAGGCCTTACCTACCATTGTGTTAGCCAAATTTGTGTTTTTGATATTGGTGTGGGAAACCCCAGAAGGTAGAGATGTACTTCCGTCAGCTAACCATGAACGACACACACATATAGGGATCCTTCCCATTGTGATCTGCCAAAACTTCCTGCTCAAGTGTAATCTGAGAATGGTTTTCATTTCAGTGTCATTCATTGAGACACTTAATAATTCATTTCTTCGACCATACCTTGAACGAAACACACAGTTACTTTTTTTGTCAGAGGCTGTACCCAAATCCTTCATTAGATAGAATTCAGAGATCCTTTGTGAGCTCTTTCCTAAGATATGCTCAAAATTCTGCCTTATGTCTTTCTTTCCATGAAACTTTTCCTTCTCATTGAAATTTCCTGAGAGACACCATTCAGTCTTTATTAGATCCTTGTTATTTTGTATCTGAAGATCAGAGAGTTGTGAGTAAGCATGGCTGCTTTTCTGCTGGAAATTTTCTATTAACTGACACTGAGGTTCCAGGAGCGCTAGAGACTCTATATTCCTAAAGGCATGGAGGCACTGATGTGGAATTAGTCGCTCTGGCACATTGATCTCTGGTTTCTCCTGGGATTCACTGGCCATACAAAAATGGCCAGGAAGGAAAGAAACAGGTACACAGGCCTGGGATGTATGGCTGACCAATGGAATGTTGGGGGCGTGAGGACAAATGGCTCCTTGAGATTTGTGGAGCTTGGAGACTAATCCCCACAAATGTTCCTGTTGCTTCTGCAATGCATGCCATTTCAGGTGCTGATTTTCTGTTGAGATATTAGAGTCGGACTCATTCTGGCATCTATGAAATGACATTCCACAGTCCCTAATCTGGGACAGAGAAGAAGATGGTAGGATTGGAAGTCGTGATTGAAGGTGGGCTTGGGGCTGGACCTGAGTGAAAGTTATGGGGTGGAATTGGAGTTTAGTTTGAGATGTGGGATTGGGATGTACATTGGAGAGGGCAAAGGGATGGGAATGAGGAAGTAGTGGGGATTCTTGACCCCACCTTTGAATCCCAGAAGCTTTACCAGTTCCATTGAATAAGACAAAGTGAGGATCTAGGGTGGTACCACTACTAGAAACTAGGACAGTAGCCACTAGGGACTCACTATGCAAAGAAGGAAGACCCCAGAAGAGCTGGCTATATTTCTGTTGCAAATTTTTCCCCAAAGTCTTGACATATAGGAGCTTTGGGTTGCCTTTAGTGTTCCAGCCAGTTCTTGGGGTTGTGGCTTCTTGTACATCAGATGAGTGCAATGAATTGCCTAAAAATGTCTGTGGGTCTTCAGGCCACAATGGTTTTAAAAGTAGTCCCTCCTCATTTACTGTCTTCTCTAAAGTCTGCAAAGGCATTCTCTTTTTGATTTGTCTCTCTGAGAGATCCTGAAGATTAAGGCCCAGGAAAGAAAGGCCACTGGCCTTCATGTGTTTGGTAGCAGATCCTTCCCAGAGACAAGTCCCTGGTAAAGGGAGGGAAGCACGCTCTTGCTGAAAATCGGAATCTGATAATGGGGGGTGGAACGGAGTCTCATCATGAGTCTGACACCAAGATAATTCTGAACATGACGGGCTTAAATGGTCAGTGTTTCTGATTGCTGGGACATAAGTGGACAGCCCCTCAGAGTTACCTGGAGATGAGCTGTCTGGGACAGACTTCTGTAAGATGGAAATCGATTGAGATTGAGTCACACTTAAAGTACAGTCTGGTGGTGATGAAACAGATAGGGATGATGGTTCATGATGACAAGCATATGAATCAGTGGGATTCATTACTTGTGGAAAATCTGACAATGCATTGGTGTCTTGGGAAAGAGTGCAGTCAGTTGAGAAGTTGGTATTCAGACACAAAGTGGCCTCTGGTAGGAGAATACCATCTACTCTCTCAGTTTCATGTAGTGGGAGAGGGGGAAAATCATTGGTTAGTGGAGGGTAGTTGTCCACTGGGAATTTTGGATCCACATGAGGTAAAATTTTTGGTGATGGAGAGTAACCTAGTGGTGAGGGTGAAAGAGATTCATCCAAAAGGGTTGCTGGGTTAGGTGAGAGAGTGAAGACAGGTGGTGGGGAAGGCTCAGGCAGAGGCACTGATGTTAGGTCTCCAGGAGGGACTGCTGAGAAGGCAGGGGACAGAGTGAGTGATGACTCAGTCACAGGAACTGTGGAAGCCAAAGGGGACACAGGAGTAGCAGCATATTCCAGGGTGTTCCGGAGCAGCAGTCGATTAACCTCAGCAGTTGCTCTATTACACACCTCACAGGAGGGGTCTGGACATAACAATTGACGAAACTGGCCCAAGTGTCTGAAGGAGACAGAAGGTACAAAGTTACAGCCAGGACCAGAACAAATATATAGCACCCTGGCAAGTCTAACAAAACAAGGACCTTGCGATACATACTGTCCTTTCATAATTCCCTGCTTTCATGATCTCACAATATACTTTTTAGCCCTCATTCCAAAACTGTAGCATTTTGACTCTGAAGATTTTTCCCTCACATGTCAATACCAGACCACACTGAGAACCTTGAAATTCTAACACTGCTACACAGAAGAACACAGAAAGAAGGATAACATTTGGTCACCTTTGCCGAAGAGAAAGCACCTGCTTCGCCTCATCTGCTTCTCTCTGGCAAGCTGTCAAACCTGGAAAACCAGGACAGTGATGAAGGCAGGAGCAAAGAAATCTTATAGGAGACTGAATAGAAAGTCGTTTAGTGGTATCCTTGATAGATTGAACTTGGAGAGCCCCAAGAATTAGTGAACAAGGTCACATCATCAATTTTAGAAATAACAAAGCTCACATGTGTGTTGTATCATTCACAAAGGATTTCACGTGTATTATCCCATGTAATACTCAATACTACCCTGTGAGAAGTATAGATTACCTCAAAAAGGAATCTGATCATCCATGAAGTAAGAGTGCTTGTAGAAAGTCAGGGGGCAGGAGTTCTACTGCTCAGTATATCCCATAGCCACCTACTGGGCAATACCCATCACCCAGGTTCATTACTGCTCATGTTCTGGGATGGGCAGAGCAGGGTATCTGAGAAGTGTGTCAATTTCTGACTGCCATTTCATTAGCCTTTTCTCAGAGGTCCCTGTTTCAAAGAGGGACTAACATCAGCAGAGTTCACAGATTCGGGACTTCCTGAAAAGGAGAGGAAGGAGCACCCATGAAGAACCCGTTTGGAATAGGCAGACCCTTACCTTTCAGTGTTTCACCTTTCCTTCTCTTCTCGACTCTGTCCTGACACTGAGGACGAAAGGAATGAATGAAGCACGAGGACTCAATTCTACCTTTCTTCTCTACAGAAAACTCAGAAATAGACTATCCAAGAATAAGACTATTTTCATTAATAAAACTTTGAATTCCTTTTTTTTTTAAAGATTTATTTATTTATCCATACAAGAACTGGGGTACAGGCTAGATGCACTGGAGGGTGAGAGGATTCACCAGAGCCAGAGCAGGGAACAGAACAGGCAGACTGACGAAATACACTGCTGAGGGGAGCAGCGGGCGAGACAGGAGAGGTCTGCTGCACCATGTGGGACCCTCGCCTGCCGGCTGGGATCGAACCAGCCCTGCAGAGGCTGTGGACAGCTTCACAGCACTGTGCTCAACTGCCTGTGCCACCAGGGGAGGCCCTGAATTCCTTTTTAAAATTGCCATTTAAACATGATAAATTGTTTTCAATTTTCCTTCTTGAAAAACCCAATGATTTTATCTGTGACATCTACATTGATAGTCTCACTCAGCAATTCTCTGCTCAATGAGGCTTAGAATGCTGAGGCCAATAGGCTTTATGCAGGCTTCATCAGATGGGACCCTGTATCTTAAGACCTCAGTCTCTAGCCTCTGCTCAGGGGCACTCAGTACTCAGCACTGCTCTCTTGATCAGTTCAGCATTCATGAAGACTTGATCAAGTCACACCTACCATGGGAATGTGATTCCTGATCAAGTGTTGGGGAACTTTGTTGTCCTGCAGAGATCCCAAACTCTCTAAGTAATCTGATCCTGAATCACTGTGCTGAGATTTTATTTGGAAGTGGAAACTTGCTACCACACCCAAAGAGGCTGTGAGCTTTGGGTGGAAATTTTACCCTTCCCTGACCTCCTAGTGCCACCTACTCTATTCCCATAAAAGAGTGACATTGTATTCTCTCTTTACACTTCTCATTTAAATATCTCTCTGATCCAACCAATCCCATTTAGAAAAGGGACAAAGAAAAACAGAAAATAAGGAATCATTTCTGAGGGACAAATTTTGGCATCAGCTTTAACACTTAAAATGCATGTAGTAATCACTTCAGTCTTGAAAAAAAGCAAAAAGTTGAACAAACTAAGATCAGTGATTTTCTTGGAGCCATCAAAGATTTGAGGTCAAAGAACAAATGCCTACCCAATATCTTTTTTTTAATTTAATATATTTTATTTTATATAATTCTTACATCATTTTTTCATTTTTGCACAATGTATGGAAACAACCCAAATGCCTATCCAATATCTTCAGAGACATTGAATGCAGAAAATCACAGTCAAGGTCACCTTACCTAGAGCAGAAGCTGCAATAGACATACACTAGTAGGAATGCCTCAGTATGCATTGTGGCATTTGTTTAAAGATGTATTTGGATTAATATGAGTGAGAAATCCCTGACATTATGATCCTGAAGAGGGGGCAGTGTGTGGGCAGCACTTAATAATTTTTTTTTACCTCTAGGAACCCCTTCAATGTTCTCATTGAAGAAAGGTTGAAAAAAATCCTGACATTTCCTGGAGTATCTTGAGGGTCATGGTGGGTTAAGAAGATAGATAAGCATTTTGAAATATCCACTGAGAGTTCAATGCATCATGTCTGACTTTCAACAAGAAATTATAGGGATGCTGAAATGCATGAAAAAGCAGTCTGAATAGATAAAGTAAACATCAAATTCACATTCAAGTATGACACAGATATGAGAACTATCAGAGGAAATCCGTAACATAGTATGTTAAGTATAACATAATAAATAAATAAATAAATAAATAAATAAATAGAAGTTTTTATGGGAAAATTAGATAACATATAATAACAGATGAGGAATGTAAGTTGAAACAGGGAAACTCTAGAAAACAATCAAAAGGAAATGTTAGAAACTGAAAACACTCTAACAGAAGTAAAGAGTGTCTGTGATCATCTCATCTGTAGATTACTTTTTATGGTTAAGGAAAGAATAAGTGAATTAGAATATATGTCACTAGAAATGATCAAAACTGAAATGCAAATAGAGAAAAATTTAAATATTTTAACCCAGCATATTCAAGAACTGTGAGAAAGATTTAAAATAGGCATGTATGTATATATACACACACACGTGTGTGTGTGTGTGTGTGTGTGTGTGTACATAATTGTAATACCAGAAGGGGAAGAGAGAACAAAACAGAATCAATATTTGGGGGAAGGTTGTTTGTTTTTTATTAATTTTTTTCTTAAACCGTTTTCTTGAATCATCACTATATTCCCTTATATTCACCCCTTCCCTGCTTTGCACCCCCTTTCCACTCCCACCTTTGCTATATGCCTCAGTTCTATGGTCAGCTTGCTAGTTTTGACTTTTTCTTGACCTTTTGTTTGGTTTCTATGTATTCCACATATAAGTCAGACTATCTGGTATCTATCTTTTGCATTCTGACCAATTTCAGGTAGCATAATCCCTTCCAGCTCCATCCACATTATTGCAAATGGCATGAGTTTGTCTTTTCTGATGGCTGAGTAACATTCCACAAAATATACAACAACTTTTTGATCCATTCATCTATTTTGAGGCATTTACTTTGTTTCCATATATTAGCTATTGTAAATTGTGTTGCAATAAACATAGAAATGCAGATTTCCTTTTGAATTAGTATTTTTGTGTCCTTTGGGTAGATTTCTAGGAGTGGAATTGCTGGATCATATGGTAGATCCATTTTGAGTGTTCTGAGGAACTTCCACATAGCTTTCCATAGTGGCTGGACCAGTTTACATTCCCACCAGCAGTATAAGAGGGTTCCTTTATCTCCACATCCTTTCCAGCATTTGGTGTTTCCAATTTTTTTAATGTGAGCCATTCTTACTGGAGTGAGGTGGTATCTCACTGTGGTTTTGATTTGCATTTCCCTGATAACTAATGATGCTGAACATTTTTTCATATGCCTGTTGGATATTTGCCTTTCTTCTTTGGCAAAGTATCTTTTAGAGAATCAATATTTGAAGTAATAATGACCAAAGATTTTCCAAAATTCATGATAGTTTTTTAAAAAATGGCTACATCTGGACATATCAGATTCAAACTAAAGGAAAATAAAAGATAAAATAATGAAAGAATCCAGAGGTAGGGAGATACCTCTAGACAAACAAGAGTAAGAGTTATGATTTTATATCATAAGCAATGAAATCAAGAATGTAGAGTGAGGGCCTCCCCTGATGGCACAGCGGTTGAGCGCTGGGCTGCAAAGCTGCCCGCAGCCTCTGCAGCGCCGGTTTGATTCCCGGCCAGCCAGGGAGAAACCCACATGGCATAACAGACCTCTCCTGCCACACCTGCTGCTCCCCTCAGCAGTGTGTTTCATCGGTCTGCCTGTTCTGTTCCCCGCTCTGGCTCTGGTGAATTCTCTCACCCTCCCGCACTTCTGACTGTACCCAGTGGTTGTATAAATAAATAAATAAATCTTAAAAAAAATTTTTAAAAATGTAGAGTAAAACTTAAAGTTGGAAGCAAAAAAAAAAAAAAAACCTATCATTTTATATCTAAGGAGATTGTCTTTCAAAAGTGAAAGAGAAAATAAATCTTTCTCAAACAAAAATTGAAGAGAACCATACAGCAAACTTGCCCTGCTAGATTGTTGGAGGTCATTCTTCAGGGAGCAGGAAAAAAATTATACCCTGGATCTACATAAAAAGAGAAGGACTGAATAAAGAAAAATGTAACTTTTATTTTTCTTATTCTTAATTCACTTACTAAAAATACAATATATTATGTGACTATAGTATGTGGAAAAGGAAATGAAATACAACGGTGGAATAAGAAACAGGAAGGAGGAACTGGAAAACTGTTATAAGATACCTATACTACCAATGAAGTGATATAATATTATATGAAAACAGACATAGATTAGTTATAAAAGTATATTACAAACTGTAAGGCAACCACTGAAACATTTTAAAGAAGAAGCAAAATGGAATTACTTAAAATATTTGTTCAAAACCAGAAAAGAAAAAAAAAGGAGAAAAGGTTAAAAAAAGGGGAAGAAGAAAATAGGTACAATGAATAGTAAATAGTTACAGGATAAATAATAATCCTACTACATTAGAATAATCAGAAACATCAAAACTAATGTATCAGGACAGATACATTAGGCAAAAGTCGTAAGGATATATATAGTTACTCTGAATAGCACCACCAAACAAATTTACATTTATTAAAAATTTCATTTAACAACAGAAATACACATTCTTCTTAAGCTCACATACACCATCTGCTAAAATAGACCACATTCTGGGCAACAAAACACATCTTTAACAAATAATAAATAATAGAAGTCAGGTAAAGTATGTTTTTACAACATAATGGTATGAAACTAAAAATCAATTACATAAAAATAGCTAGAAAATCAAAAAATATTTGGAAAATAATAAACTACTATCATGTTGGTTAAAAATATCTTAACCTGGGCCTCCCTGGTGGCTCAAAGGGGTAGGCATCAGCACTATGAAGCTATCTGCAACTACTGCAGCACGAGTTCGATCCCCAGCCAGGGAGGTGACCCACATGGCTCAGCAAACCTCTCCTGTCTCGTCCCCTGCTCCCCTCAACAGTGTATTTCAGTCAATCTGCCTGTTCTGCTCCCCACTCTGTCTCTGGTGAATCCTCTCACCCCCACACCTCTGGCCTATACCCTAGCTCTTGTATGCATAAATAAATAAATCTTTAGGGAAAAAAATCTTAATGTGAAAAAGAAGATACAAACTTACCAAAATTTGTGAGGTGCAGAATGCAATTCTTAGAGGTAAGAAATTGAAAGCATTTAATGCATATATTTGAAAGATTGGGTATAGTGGAGTGATTCTGTTTTACTTACCTGATTGATGTCTCTCTTTTTCCAAAATAGTGAGAAACTAGGATTCCTCTTCAGGTAGCACAGTAACAGGAGGAGGATCCCCACCCCACACACAAAGGCAAGGATGGGAATACTTAGGAGGACAAACTGGAGATCAGCCATAAAGCATTGAGGCTCCTCAAACATAGAAGGTGGCCCCCATCATTAGAAGTACATGGCCATCTCAGTCACCTTGGTAATGATAGTGCACATTCCAGAGTTCCAAGTCCACATCACAGAGCTTTGGCACAGATAACAAGGTTCTTGAGAGTGGGGGTCAGATAGTCATGAGAGATGGACCCACAACCCTTCCCTCCACCATCCAGCTCAGCAAATCTTTCCATCCCTCAAGAGCCCTTTAGATATTCCAAGCATAGACTTCCACTTCATCCCTTCAAATTTATTTCCCCGTTACCCAGATATTATCTGAGACCCTTGGTGATCTCCCTTTGACCACACGTAATCTTTGAAAATCTGATGTGCCAGGATTTACAGGTCCAAGAACTGTTCTGTCCTCAACTATAACATCCCTTATAAATAATGAGTTTTTATTTGTATGAAACCTAAAATATAACCAACAGCACCCCACCCTCCATATCTCTAAGAATCTCTGCTCACCAAATATTAATAGCACGAGAGAGCAGAGCAGCTAGTACCAGTGTTCACAAAACATGAAAAAGAGGGAGACAAGGGCAGGGCACACCCCTAGATAAGCAATTACCATGATAAGCCTCATGATAAGCAATTTAAAAATCCTTTCGCAATTTTCTTTTCCCAAAAATCCCTTTAAGGCTATTCAGCCCCTAAGTATTCTCAAATCTCATCACTTCCACCCACACAGTGCCTCCTCCTGCTGCTCCCTCTTTCTTCTCTCAACCAATTCCCCTCTCTCTCTTGAAAATTATCAAGTCTTTATTTTACCAACATAAAATTTAGTTGTGTGGTTTAGTAGTTGCAAGACCAAACTCATCTGATTTAGGGAGCAGGCTTCTCTTCAGCATAACTTCTAATGAGCACAAGTCTACAAAGCAATCTGTGCAGGAATAGTTTTTTTTTTTTTTTTTTGAATCACATGTCTAGTTGCATCTTTCATGAAATGTTTTATTTTTTTCCCATCTACTCTGTGACTTTTCACCCAAGTTCTGTTAGGATCTCTGTAGTTTTTAAAACACTATCAAGATAGTGGTATAAATGTATTTCATCATCTGATGCTAGCTAATCATTTAATTGTTATAACCCTACAACTTTGTTATTTAGACTATAAACTGCTGTAATGAAGACCTGTGTCATTTTCTTGATTTGCTTCCCTGTGTTCTCAGCCTGAATCTGACAAATCAGTCTTGGCCACACCCATCTAATCATTTCCCTCCCACTTGGGAGGGCTTATCAATAATGATAGATTCTTTCTGTGCTGCCCTTTGAACCTACAGCTTCACCAGACTCTACCCAAAAGAAAGCTACATGTCAAGCACAGTCCTTCTCTCGTTCCCTACCTTGATTGAAGGAGGAATCTGTTCAGAAAAAATCTTTCCCACATAAGTTTGATCTCTGGGATGTTTTTTTTTGACCAAGTTGGTCCTGACTGTACCTATGGTCTGTAGAACTCAACAATAAAAACATCCTTTAAAGTTTAAACAAGATAAGTGCCGCCAAAAGATGTCCAAGAGAGAAGGGTCTTATAAAAATGGTATGTCAAATATATTCTTTAAAAATCATCTGGTCATTAATAAGAAAGGCAGAGATACTGATCCTGACATATGGAAACCCAAGACATATGACAGTGAATGCAAAATGTGCCTACAGACTGAATCCATAATGGAGGTTTTAAAACAAAAACGGCCATAATGGACCATTTGAAATAGTTTGAAAAATTATAAGGGAAAAAAAGTCACAAAGGACATTCATTAACTCAATAAAATGGCAAAAATGGAATGAGATTAGCTGTGGGTCAAAGTGTCAATGTTAAATTTATTAAAGGGGATAACTATACTGAGAGCATGCGAGAAGATACTTTTTTTCTTAAGAAATTCTCAAATATTCAAGGAAAATGTACAAAATTCATGAAATGTATTTCTCAAACATTTGGGAAGGAATGCAGAGAGAAAAGGAAGCAGGGAAGGAGAACAGAACAAACAATAAAAGAAATAGAGGAGATATTTTTTAAAAACGGATCAAATGTTAATTGATAAATCTGCATAAGGATGTTTATCATCCATGTCATTTTCCATGTTTGTCAAATATGTCTTTATATGGGCCATTGATTATTGTTCTGAATGTTACCTATTCTTTAAGATTTCTGCATTTGATACCCACAGCTGCGATCACCACCCTATCCAAACCCCAAAAGTGTGCAATGCCAACTCTAAAGCAATTGTTTCAGATTCTGTCTCAGGCAAGAAATCTGGGACCTTTTGTACACATGAGGCATACTGACATTTCAACAGATTTTACAAAATACTGAAAAGAGTACTACTAGCCCTCCTCCCATTAAAAGATTTTTTTAAATTATGCACACTATAAAAAAAACAAAGTCAACATATTTTCAACAAAGAAATCCTAATTTCTTATCTGGTGTCTCCAGGAAAGAAGTCATTCATTTCCTGAGGTTATGTGGTTTGAATTGGCTTGCCAGCTCCGCTGGTCAATTACCACTCCTTGTGGGTTTCCATCTTCCAAAAATGTGTTGACATCGTTATTGTATCCTCTTTCTTCTTGTCATCAAGAGCTTAATCTTTTTAACTTATTGTTTTAACTATTTTATTGAAATAGAGTGCACATACCATACATTTCATCCATCTAAAGTATATAATTCCATAACTTTTAGTATATTCACAGACACATATAACCTTCACCATCGTCAATTTTAAATCATTTTCATGAAAGTGAAAAGAAACAAACCCCGTAAACTGGCTGTCATCCCTCTTTTTTCTCATTTTCCCACTGCAATGCAACCGCTAATCTACTTTGACTTTCTGGATTTCCATATTTTGGACATTTCAACAATAGAATAATGTGTGTGGTCTCTTACATGTTTCTAATGTCCATTCATATCACCGCATTTGTCAGTAGTTTTTATTGCCAAAGCATGTTACATTGATTCTATGGAAATAGAGCATATATTATTTACCCATTCTTCAGTGGATAAATATTTGTGTTGTTTCCATCTTTTTACTCTTATGAGTAGTAGTGCTATGAACGTTCATATACAAGTTTGTGTGTGGAAAAATGTTTTCCTTTTTTCTTGAGTATATACCTACAAGCAGCGTTTCTGGGTCACAGCCTAAGTCTAAGTTTGACATGTTGAGGAACTTCCAAACTGTTTTCCAGAACAGCTATACCATTTTCCCTTCCCACCAGCACTGTGAGGGTTCTAATTTCACTACCTTCTCACCAACACATTATTAAGTTTTCTTTTAGTTTAGCCATCTTTGTGTGTATGATGTAATATCTCATAGTGGTTTTCTCATTTCTCTGCTGAATGATGATTTTGAGTATCTTTTTATCTAATCTTTTACTATGATGGTATTTTGGAAAGAAGAGGAGAGTAACAAGTACTTGATCTGTGTTTTACCAAAAGCACAGCGATTCGTTTTAAATAAATGACAGGAAAACCATTTTCTTCTAAATATTTGAAACCATTTATATAGCAGTGTCTTTATCAGCATGTACAGTTTTCTCCTTCTTAGGGTTTGCATGATGTAGGAACAACAGTCTTGTGTGAATTTGTTCTGTAATATTTCTGCATGGGGTCAAAGGAGGAATTCACTCAAATGAGTCCTTAGTTGACTCAAAGAGCAGAAGTGTATGCCAGCCCTTCTAGGGCTCAATGCTTTTTCATCACCAGTGCTGTTTCTTTGTGGGATATGTTTATTCCACAGTTGACAAATATCATAGAAATGGGAGAACATCTATACTGACAGAAAGCATATGTGTAAAAGCTGAATTGCAAGACCATTAGGTGGACTTTTATATGTCAAACATAGTGTTAAACATGAGCTGCATCACACCTGCCAGTTTATAATCGTGAAGTTGTACCTGGGATACTTAGGAAGTTATATTGTTTCATGTGATCTTGTGTATGTTTAAACACTTGACAGGAAACTTATAAAGAGTAAAGATATGAAGTGCCACATAAGGAGAGAGAAGGAGCAAAGTTACCCGTCAAGGATGGCTCTGTCCATCAGGATTAGAGTCTGTCTCTGAATAAGGAAATTTCAGGAAGTATAATTCCTTTGCCATGGAAAATTATATAATAGGAAGAAAGGGGTAATAAGAATCTGTTTTGGAATGTTTTTTGATGAAACAGTGGATAAAAACCATCTCATGTTTTGTGAATGTTGCTCCAACACTTCTTTTGAGAGAAGGGGTAAGTGTGAGCAAAGTAAGATTTGAGTACCACCAGAGAGAATACAGTAAACAGACAGGAATTTACCTCTTTTTGTTTTGCTCACATCTTAGTAAGCATGAATTAATTGTGGAATGATTCTTTTTATTTCTTCCTAGGTACTACTGGGGCTGAATGTATCATGGTATCAAAAGACCCAATTGTGAGATTTGGTACAGAAGTAGTCAGTCCCTTGTCAGAAAGCATTTCTAAAAAAAAGCAGAATGATGAGTGTTTTTGACAGACAGGAAGGATTAAAGGGGATTGGGCAGGACCCGTTATAGTGGAGGTTTTTGTTTATTTTATTTTTATATATTTTACATCATTTTTCATTTTTGTACAATGTATGCATTTTCATCTTTGTTATAGTCCCCGTAAAATTCCCACTACCCTTGTTTTGATCCTACTCCCTTCTCCCCACCTGTAGTGTGTCTCTGGTTGCCTGTTGATTTTGATTTTTACTTTATCATAATTAGTCTTTTTCCTGATCCCTTATTTGGGTCTTCTAAATTCTTGCTATGAGTGAGACCATCTGGTATTTTTCTTTTTCTTTCTGGCTTATTTCACTGAGCATAATCCCTTCCAGCTCCATCCATGTTACTACAAATGGCATGAGTTTATCTTTTTTGATTGCTGAGTAATATCCCATTGTACCACATCTTCTTGATCCAGTCATCTATTTTGGGGCATTTGGGTTGTTTCCATAGTTTACCAATTGTAAATAGTGCTGCAATAAACATAGGAGTTCAGGTGCCCTTTTGAATTAATGCTTTTGTGTCCTTTGGGTAGATACCTAGGAGTGGAATTGCTGGATCATATGGAAGCTCCATTTTTAGCAGGTTGAGGAGCCTTATAGTGTTTGTTACCTGGTAGACCAAATATACCTTAGAGAGGGAGGAAATGAGGACAAGAGCTTGGTGGGTAGATGTTATAAATAACTGGAATTGAAAATTCAACAAGGGATCATATATTTTGTAGAGTAGGGGAATAGGTCAAAAGGTGAAAATGTCAGACTATAACGAGAAATGTTCTTGGTATTAAGTTCTAGAGAGTGACAGTCACTGGCTTAGAATCTAATTAAAGGACCCTAATATGAGATAATGGAACAACTTGTAGTCTGGGTTATTGGCTGGTCTACCCCTATGAATGTTTTAGTAATTCACTGCCTCATTACTTCATGTTCTCTACCAAGGTCTCCCATTCCACTCTTTGTACCTTCAGGGCCTCCTGAGTGCCCAGATATAAGTCCAGTGAATAGTCTTGAACTACCACTGGCTACAATCTTTCTCTGACCCTAAGCTTCAGACATGATCACTATAAGATCAGTGTTGTACCTCTGATCAAGAAGATACAAGTATGAAACTAAGAGGGAGCTGTAGTTGGTATGTTTTTGCTTTGCTTTTGTAGTTAGTTTAACACACAACAATTACAAGTCTTTCTGGGAAAACAACCTCAAGTACCTTCTAGGAAACCCACCCCATCTTTGAATCCCAGTCTGTACAAACGCAGTAACCTTTTCAACACAACCCTCTTAGAAGAGTGAGTATATGTGCACTCTTGGCCAGAAGAGCATTGTCTTGGGATCCTTGGAGAGCCCCCAGATATTTGTAACTTTGGTATATAGTTTTAACTTACCAATGGCTCATACCTGCAAGTATTGTGGAACATATATATGAGATCTACCATGACTCCACCAAGGACATGTGCATTAAAGGTACCACCTCCATCCTAATAGGTGAGCTATACACACTAACAGTGGGATCTTGTATATTGTCATCAAGTGGGAATAGAAAAAAAGGCACCAGGACGCCTTCACAAAGAAGAGGATGCCATACCTGTAGACATCCCTGCAGATACTGCATTAGTACTGAAAGAATCCATGAACTCTATGGCCAAAAGGCATCAGGATGCTGCACAATACTTGGCCCAACCACAGGGAGGTGGTGCCTGGATGAGACTGAGTAGTGGGAGCAGGACAGGATCATGACAGGGTGATGATGGGGTATTTTGGGGCATAAACCTGTTTTACCAGCAGAGCCCTGCTTTACCCTCTTTTTCTTGTTCTCCACTTAATTTAAAGCATCTTTTTTTTTTTTTTTTTTACCTTTCAGTTTTAGTTTACCCTGGGAGAGAGGGGGCTGCATTGTCAATATCACACTGACAATTAATGATGCTTTCACTCAGCAGAAAATGTCATTACTCCTGACAGCTTGAAGAAATACCAAGGGGAGAGAACCACTTCTTCAAGGAATCTTTTCCGTAGGAAAGCCTTAGGGGCAAGTATAACTGTGCCGAACATGAGCCAAATGACTGATACTTAAACAGCATCTGTGCTATTTCTAGATCCTACCCCAGCTAGCTCATCATAAGCCCTCCTGATCCAGGTCCTCGGGATCCACAGTACAAACACCCACCTCTAAACACTCCCACGTTTAGGGTTCACCCAACACCTGTGGGCACCTCTGATCACTCACTGTAAAACATGATTGAAGAGTTGTTTCTTCTTTCCTGTGATTTTATTTGAAAATACACTTGCCCTTGACTCTTGGCATCTAGAAGACATGCCTTCCATGCAATGAATGAGTATGGAAACACTAGTGAACATACAATGAAGGAGAAGATGTGGCTACTAAATATTTTATCAAACCTAAGTAGAGGCAGGAGACAGAGCTTATCTCCTCCAACTTCAAAGAAGAGAGAGTTTGGGGTCAAATACACATCATTTTTATTTCTCAGCAAGAGTTCCAAGGGAGTGGTCATCATTGAGAAACCAAAGGAGGCCATTTGTAAGAACTGAACTAGCTCCTTCCTTTCAACACAGCCCTGATATACCCAAAACCCATGCCCCAGAAACATAAGACTTTGCTATTACAGAAATATTGGAATTATCAATCTTGTGAACAAGGAAGGAATTATTTTGGGGTACAGAATTCCCCTCCCTGGAAATTCCGAGAACCATTTTCTATTTAAGTAGTTGAGACAGATCTCTGAACACAGTGCCTTCAACAGTGGTGAGAGAAGCTGGAGAACCGTGGCCCTCGTGAGGTGTGCCGTTGGGATTTAGATGGTGTACAGATACCATGTGGGGTTGGGGGATGCTTCTGACACAATAGCTGTTCCCTAAATGCCACAGCTTCCTGTGCTCAACCATCCTTCTCTCTGATCTAATACTTGCAGGACGAGTCTGGCCAGCAATGACAGCAGCTTGGGAGCAGGACTTGTCATGTGTCACTTTACAGCTGGGACCCCTGCAGTTAAGAGGATGTCGCTGAATAGGCTCTGTGCAGGTCTGCACTTTTGCTTTCTGATGAGTTCTCCCACATGTCACTGATGAATGAAGGGCCTCATGATAGCCCAGCTTCTCCTGAAACATTCCAGTGTCACTCCTGAATTTATGAGCTACCGTCATCCCAGTGAAGACAGTTCTACTTTTAAGTAGATGTCTGCAGGGCAAGGATGATATGGGGCTGCCCCTCTGGGAATTTTGCCTTTTGCCTGTCATCACAGGGCGAATCCATTGCAAAAAGTGCTTCATTTTATTTTTAAAAAGGTTTTCAGGAGGTGGTTGTTCCTTTTGGGAGAGCATCTGGGAAGTCTTACTCCACTGTGCCTCCTCTAATGCCATTTTCCGAGAGGGGACACTCTGCCTTCTAGGTTGGGATGTCCCCAGCCTGGCGTCCCCTCCACCCAGCTCCTCTGTGTTGGGGCCCAGAAGATTCACTCTCTTGGCAGCTGATGGTAAATTCTTATACTGGCACCTCCTAAAAACATGCTCAAAGACCCGCTGCTGCCCCATGCTGATCCCATTGTCCACCAAGTGAGCCTGCAGCACCTGGGAAGCCACCACGTCCCCACTGGACATGCCCTGGGCATGAGTCAGGGAGGACTTAAGGGTTAAGTTATCCAAAGAAAGGGGTATGTCATGGGACTGGCCTGGGGCATCTCTGGGATCCCTGCTCCCCCGTAAAAACTTTAATTCACCAAGAAACTTCTTTTTCAGGTCTGATAGTTTAGACTCCTGGGAATCTGCTATTTGTGGTGGGGGCCTTTCAGTCGTCACAGTCGTTTCCACGTGACTCCCATTCACATGTGCTGTTGGAGGGCTCCCTGGCTTGCTAGTTATCAAAATGTCACTAGATTTTGATCGAGGAGCATCAAGTTCCTCAGCCCTGAATATCTCCCTGGACATATTGGCTTTGGAAAGCATTTCTAAGTTCCGGTGTCTCTCCTTGCCCTGCAGCATTTCTGCTCTACTACTGAAACTCATTCTGCCAGCCTTTGGCCCGTGTGTGGCCACAGCCTGCCTTGCAGGCGGCATGGGGGGGCACCTCATGCCTGGAAGACACTGAGTCTGCCTTGACTTGCCTGGGAGACTGTGTTTGACAGGCAGAAGACTGGGTCTGCCACCCTTCATCCTCTGCACACCCTCTGCTGGCTCATGGGTGACGGCAGGGATTGGTTCTCTCATGCTCCCTTCTCTGTCCCTGCCCAGGTGTGAGGTAGCAGGGACAGGGTGAGCTCGCACAGGACCTACACCTGTTATCCCCACATTCTCTTCCCCATTCGATTTTCTTCTAATGGACTTGAATCTCCCATATTTGGAGTCCTCCTGAGTAGTCATGTTGTTTGGGGAGGGATGGTTCAAAAAGGAAGCACTGCCTTTGCATTTAAAGATCTCTATGGATTCAAGGACTTTGGAGGGGAGGCCCCATAGCATCCTAAGACGAAACTTCTTAATATGGGTTTCTAGTAACTGCTGTGCACTGGAATGAATGAAGGAGAGCTGCTGGGAGGTATTGAGGGAGTAGTCCTGAGGCACCGATGAAGACAAATCGTCCTGCCCTACTTGGTTGTGCGGTTTCACAGAATGCTGCACAGTATGCTCATCTATGTGCAGTGAACTACGCACAGTGTTAGGGAGCCGACCCTCATTAATTTCCTCAAATTTCTTGCTCAAATGTACTCTCAGGACATTTTCCAGTTCGTTGTCATGTAGACTCCCCTCTGAGGCCCTTGAATATTTCCCTGACAAATTTGCCACTTGACCATTTAGATTGTTTTCCAAGTCATCCCCAAGATGCTTGTATGAAGAGCTCAAGAGATCATCTTTTAAGTCATTTTCTGGGATATGTCCCCGATACTTCCTTGCATCCTTCTCTAATTCAAACGTTATTGAGCTCTTCTTCTCATGGACACTTCCCGATTGGCTCTGTCCAACATTTAGAGCTTTGCTACTCAGACCCTGAAGCACAGTGCTTCCCGAAGGTGCACTAATGCTCTTTAACTCAAGTGTCTCTGACAGACCTTCTGGAGGCACCAGTAATGACATCGAATGAATAATCCTTTGGGGCAAGCCCCACCGATGTTGTATAAGCCTCTTTCGAAGGTGATGTTCTAATTTACCCTGAATTTCATCAGGAAAAGGAAACTCTCCAGGAAGGACTGAGATTGATTCAAGGACACGGGTGGCCCGGTGTTGAGGAAAACTGGGAGGTGAGGAACAAAAGTCTTTGTGAGATTTTCGGACAACAGCAGGTAAACCCCAGAGGTTTTCTTGTTGCTTCTGCAGCAGGTGCCATTCTAGGTGTTCAATATCAGAAGAGTCAAGAGAATCTGGTACATTCAGGGGTCTGTGGAAAAACACTCCACAAATTCTAATTTGGTGTGAAGGACCAGATGGTTGAGCTGGCATTGGGCATGGCAGGTCTGCTGGTGGCTGAACCTTTGGCATGGATGGGAATTGTGACTGAGTTTGAGGCAATGATGGAGGCTGTGATTTGGGCAAGGACAGAGGGAGGGGCTGGGGAAGCTCTGGGGATTTCTGATCTATGGAGGCATTTGGGATTGTATTGAAAAAAAAGATAGAGGGAGAGTCCCTTGAGACATAGATAGCAGAGCGCAAGGACTCGCTGTGAAGGGATGGGAGACCCCAGAAGAGCTGGATGCGTTTTTGCTGTAAATGGTCCCCCAAAGATTTAAGATGTGGGGGCAGTTCATGCATCTGCAGCTCCTGTGGTTTGCCTTTGGGGCTCCAAAAAGGAAGGGAGACTGCTGAGTCATCTTTATCAGCAACGGACCTTAACACTTTCCTGGAAGAATTTAGTTGGTACCCGGGTCTAAGTGGTTTTGGTAAAGAATATGTTTTCTTTTCCTTTTCCTTCCACATCAGGAAATCACTCCGCTTTTGCACTTGCCTCTCTAGGAGTTCCAAGACATCAGGACTGAGAAATGAGAGGTTACCAGGTTCTACAAGATTGGCAGCAGGGTCTCCCCCAAAAGAGGTCTCTGATGAGTGAAGGGCAAGAAACTCCTGATTGAAATCACGTGGTGCCAAGGTGGAGGGTGACCAGTCTGTGGCATTAGCCTGCCACCAGGAGTATTCTCTAACTGACAAGATTGAGTGCTCAATGCCTCTCACTGCTGAAACAGAAAGCCCTGGTGGGCTGTGTGAAGATGAGCTCTCTGGGACAGACTTGAATAGGATGGAAATAGCTTTAGATTGAGTCACAGTTAAAGTGCTGCCTCGTGGTGGTGAAACAGAGAGGGTTGGTTGTGCATATGCTTGGTGATGGCAAGCAGATGAATCATCAGGATTCATTGGTTGTGGCAAATTAGGTAAGGCATTGATATCTTGACAGAGGGTGGGGTCCTCTGAGAAGATGTTATTTAGAGACAAAGGGGTGTGTGGTGGGAGCACAGCATCCACTCTCTGGGTGTCATATTGGGGGACTGGGGAAAAAGCACGGTCATATGGTGAAGAATGGTCTGCTGGGAATTCAGGACCCAGTGAAGGAAAAGGCTCTGGTGACAGATTGTATCCCAGTGAGGGTGCAAGAAACTCATCTGAACAGGTCAGTGGATTAGGTGAGTGAAGAGGGGTGGAGAGGGGTGGTGGGGAAGGTAGAAGCAGAGGAACTGGTATTTGGTCTCCAGGGGGAGCTGCTGGGAAGGCAGAGGACATTGTGAATGAGGATTCAGTCATGGGAGCTGTGGAGGCCAAAGGAGAGACAGAGGGAGCATCTTCCAGGGCTTCTGGGAACAGCAGTTGGTTGATCTCAGTAGTTGTTCTATTACACACTTCACAGAAGGGGTCTGGACACAATAGTTGGCGAAAGCGGGTCGTATCATGTTGCCGGCCCAGGGGACTGCAGGAGACAGGAGGTGTTCAAATTGCAGCCAGAGCCAGAACCGTGAAAGGATGACCCATTGGCCTGGCAGGGATGGGACCACCTAAAATATTCTCCTTGGGCCTCCCTGGTGGCGCAGCGGTTGAGCCCGGTTGCGAAGCTGCCCGCAGCCTCTGCAGCACCGGTTCGATCCCCGTCTGCTCCCCAGCCACCTGAGGAGGGTCCCACATCGCGCGCAGACCTCTCCTGCTGCCCGCTGCTCCCCTCAGCAGTGTACCTCGGTCCTTCTGCCTACTCTGCTCCCCGCTCTGGCTCTGGTGAATTCTCTCACCCTCCCGCACTTCTGACTGTACCCAGTGCTTGTATAAATAGACAGATAGATAGATAGATAGATAGATAGATAGATAGATAGATAGATAGATAGATAGATAAAAATAAATCTTTAAAAAATTAAAATATTCTCCTTCACATTGCCCCGCTCTCTGACCTCACAATACCCCCATTCCCACGGCTACCCCCTCCCATGGCTACAGCGGGTAACACTAAATCCCTGCTGTGGCCTAGGTCATGCTACAGCGAGGTCAGGGCAAAGACAAGTCACCTTTTTACAATAGCAGTCAGCTTCCTCTTCTCTTCTGTGTCACTCTGGCAATAGCTCCAACCTGGGAAACAAGAATGTGTTATTTGTGATGAAAATAGAAGCATAGGTCTAATGCAGGAGTCCCTTAGGAGCGACCTTGGGGCTATCTGGCACTGAAATGCTCAACAATCACTAGAGGAAGACAGATGGCAGTGATAATATTAACCAGGGTCGTGTGTGTGTGTGTGTGTGTGTGTGTTGCTTCACGTCTAAAAGACTTTGATGCACATGATCTCCTGTGATGCCCTAAACCACCCTGGAAGGAATGCAGGTCGATGGTTCCCTCAAAACGGAATGGATCATCCATGAAGTCAGAGAACTTTTAGAAAGTCAGGCCACTGAAGCTCTGACTCTCAGTATACCCCATGGGCCTGTCAGGCCAACGGCCATTACCCCGGCCCCTCACTGCTTCCTGTCCTGGGGGCGGCAGAGCAGGGTACCTGACATATCCCATCCCATCAGCCGCTCCTCGAGGGCCTGATTCTGAGAGACACTACTATCCGCAGAAATCACAGATTTGGGGCTTCCTGCAAGAGAGGGAAGGGTGGCCTTGGAGAGCGCGGGTGGAACGGGCAGACCCTTACCTGTCAGTGTCCCCCCTTTCCGCCTCCTCTTGGCGCTGCACTGAAAACAGAAAGAATGAATGATTGATTCTCAGTTCACTCCTCCTCTGTGGAGAAAACTCAGACATGCATTATCTAGAATGAGAAGACTCTGTTTTCATTGACTGAACTTTGTATTCCTTTTTAAAAATTCCTTTTAAAAGTGCTAAAATGTTTTCAAGTTTTCCATCTGGAAAAAGGCGGGGATTTTGTCTATGAGGTGCACATTGCTGTTCTCAGTCAACAGCCTATAGTCTGTTGGGATGGGAGCCTGTATCTTGGATCGAGATCCCAGGCTACAGCCTCTCCTCAGGGGACTGCGCTCCTGATCAGCTCAACATTCAGGAAGACTTGATGGAGTGACACCTACCAGGGAATGTGACTCATGACCCAGTGCTGGGGCCTGTGTGTCCCACAGAGATCTCAGACACTGACTGTCCTGATCAGGAACGCAGGGGCACAGTGTTTACTTCCACCACACCCTGGTGGTCTGTGAGCATCTCGTGAGCCTAGTGCTACCTAGTCTATTCCCTGGGAGCATGAAGGTGTTTCCTGGTCACAGTTCCCAACTTAGGTGTCTCCCAGAACCAAGCAAACTTATTTTAAAATGTGGGAACAGAAATGTAAATGGCAATACAGAATCTCTATTGGGGACATGCCCAGAATTCCTTACCTTTCTGCTGTCTGTGGTTTTCCAGCCAGTGAATAGAGATGGAATCCCCACCAGGTAGCACAGGAACAGAAAGACCAAACAATACCCACATAGGTAAATGATGTCAGGGTCAATATCCAAAGATGTTGAGCGAAAGCTCAGCCAAGACTCAGTATGGCACTTCAGAAATGAAAGAACATCCCATTTTCTGAATTCCATGATCTGAATCACATGCTTGTCTGAGGCAACTGCTCCTCAGTCGAGTGTTAAGATTGTACTGGACTTTAGTTCCATTCCTACATCACAGAGCTCTGAAGTGTCACAAAGGAAACCTTGGAGCGGGGGAGGGGATTCCACAGAGTGTTCCTACCCCAGCACCAGTCCAGCAGGTTCCTCTATTCTCCATAGCCCACTAGGTTTCTCTACTGTAAACTACCATCCAGTTTTCTAATTCCACCCTCCCATCATATATTTGCTTAGAGGAAATATGATTCTTGCATCCATAACACAGATAGAAACTGAGCTCCTTGAAAACCCTGGTTTGAGTCTCACCAATTCATTGCCTTGAAAGTCTGCTATACTGCTAGGAGTGTTTGCAGACATTGACACTTAAGCTCCTATGTGTCCTCAAATCTGTCTTTCCCATAGGATGTTTTTGCCTATTCAAACTCAGATAAAGACCTACAGTTCTTTTTACACTGACTTTTTATGAATGCCAAATAGTGAATTTTAGTTTGTGTTTCTGTTAGTTTTACCCATCTTTAATCAGCAGGGCTGATATAGTGAAAGTGCACCATTCATGATTCAACTTCAGAACACTAAAAGATGTGTAAAATAAAATGAGAATAATTAACTTCAAATATTCTTGGACAACTCCATAACATTTTTTTTAAAGATTTATTTTTATTTATTTATGCCTACAAGAAATGGGGTGTAGGCCAGAGGTGCAGGCTTCACCAGATACCAAGTGGGGAGCAGAACAGTGGGCTGACTGAAATACACTGCTGAGGGGAGCAGTGGGCCAGACAGGAGAGGTCTGTTGTGCCTTGTGGATTAGCTCCCAGGCCAGACATGAAACTCAGGCCTCAGTGGCTGCAATACCTTGATAGCACTGAGACTTAACTCCTGCACCACCAGGGAGGGCCCTCTTAACACTTATTTTTCTAAAGTTAGCATAGATTAACTACACAAAAACTTTTAGTAGATGCCACACACATACACACCCACACACATCCTCTTTTACATTCAAAATCCAGTACCAGAATGAGACATTTGTTGTAATGACACATTACTATCACTCGTGGACCATATTTTACATTGGGGTTTACTCTTAGTGTCCTACATCTCTATTAAGTATTGCAGTAGCATAGTAGTTCCACTGTCCTGAACATTCTCTGTCATCTCCCCTTCATCCAATTGTCTCTTTTCCCTTGGCAGCCACTCATCTTTCCACTGTCTTAAGAGTTGTGCCATTTCCAGAATATCATGTAGTTAGAATCATATGGCATATAGTCCATTTGAATGACTACTTTGACTTAATAATGTGCATTTAAATTTTCTCCATGGCTTTTCCTGACTGCATAACTCACCATTTTAGCACTGTCTAGATGTACCACCGTTGATCTATCCAGTTACCTTGAACATCGGTTACTTCCCAGTTTTGACAAATGTGAAAAAAACTATTTATCACTGTATACCACTTCATTGAAATGTCTTTTGTATACCTTACATGCAGGTGTGTTTCTTTGTCTTTCTCCTTTTCCTAATAAACCTGTCCTTTTAAAATATAAAATGTGGGGAAAAATTATAATTCAGTGACTCAGTATGCTCACAATTTTGCATCCATCACTACAATCAATTTCAGAAATTTTTCATCCTTCTGAAAAGAAACTGTTCTTCTTGACCCTCATCCTCCAATCTTCTCATTTCTCCACACCTAGATGACTGCTGATCTACCTTCTGCTATATATGTGTGTATATATACATATGTCTGAGTATTTCCCATGTGGCAAATACTACAATATGTGGTCTTTTGTATGTGGTTTCTTACTATGATTTCATGGTTTGTCCATGTAGCAACATATACCAATAATTCATTTCTATTAATGGCAAATAAAATTCCATTTTATGGATATACCACATTTTGTTTGCACGTTGATCAGCAGACAAACAGTTGGATTGTTTCTATTCTTGGATTACTAAGAAAAAACCTTTAATGGATATTTGTGGACCTGTTTTGGTGTGGATGTATGTTTTAATTACTTGCTTATTCATTTTAGGAGTAACTTTGTTTAAATCTTGTCTAAACTTGTTGCTTTCTGAGATTTTGGTAGTATAACCATATTAGACCCCCTATGAAATAAGGTCTTTGGGATCTAAATACAGTTTGTATCAAGGGTCATGGTGCATTGACTTGCCCTCCTGCGGTGCTCTCAAAATTAGACCTTGAGTCAGCAAGAATGATGGTGATGTATAATGCTTAAACTTAAAGAAAATTTTAAGTTTAAACTTTTACTGTAAATAATAGAATACTGTAAAAAATAGAATAGAATAGAATAGAATAGAAAAAATAGAATACTGTAAAAAACAGTTGAGAACTCAAGGATAAAAATGCAAATTAATCACTTCATAACACAGGACTTTCCTCTTGTAGATGACAGAAAAACAGGATTCTAATTTAAGCAAAAAATTTTAATGACTTGCCTTATAGTAACCCATAATGTAGGAGTACATCCAGCTTCTGATTCCCCATAGCTTGGTTCTATTTTCTCAAGGTTGATTCATACTCATGTACACAAAATGGCATCCAGTGAAGAAAAACAGAGAATTGTAGTCACTACTAAAGAATTGTGTTCTCTACTAAAGTTGCAACATTCAGATAATTAGGAGGAGCTCAGGTCAGAGGAACATCCCTGCAATGGATACTGGAAACCAGAGAATACCATTGTCCTAGTTGAAGTCTGATCACAGTAGTATCAAACCAGAAATAAGCCACAAAGAAAGCAGGAACAAAATCTCATATATGAAGACTGAACAGCATACTGCTGTTAATCATGGGCTAACAAGGAAATACAAAAACAAGGAGAATTTAAAAAATACCTAGAGATGAATGAAAATGAAAACAACCTACCAGTAACAGTGGGCTGCACCAATAGCTGTATTACACTGCGCATACACAGCCATACAGGTCTCCCGCAGAATCAAGCCAGAAGTCAAATAAATAATCTAAAGTTACATCCTAATGAACTCAGGGAACAAATGAAACCAAAAGTCAGCCGAAGAAAGGAAGTAATAAAAATAGAGTTGAAATAAATGAAATAGACATCAAGAAGAGAGCTCAAAATATCAATGAAGCCAAAGCTGCCTCTTTAAAATGATAAAATAGACAAACCGCCACCTAGATTAATGAATAAAAAAGGGAGAAATCTCTGGCAAATAGAATCAGAAATGGAAGAGAACCTACAACACACATCTCAGAAATAGAGGATCATATGAGAGTACTATGAAGATCTTTACACCAATAAATTGAATAACCTAGAAGAATTGGACAAGATCTTAAAGAACCAACTTCTGAAACTGAATCAGGAAGATACAGAAAACATTTGCAGGCCAATTACAAGCAAGGAAATTGAAATAGTAGTCAAAAGCCTCCCCAAAAATAAAAGCCCAGGGCCTCCCTGGTGGCACAACGGGTTAAGACACAACCTATGAAGGTATCCGCAGCCACTGCAGAACAAGTTCATTCCCCGGCCACGGAGCAACCCACATGGTGCAGAAGACCTCTCCTGGCTCACCTACTGCTCCCCTCAGCAGTGTATTTCAGTCTATCTGCCAGTTACTGTTCCCCACTTTGGCTCCGGTGAATCCTCTCACCCCTACCCCACACCTCTAGCTTGTACCCCAGTTCTTGTATGCATAAATAAATAAATCTGTAAAAAAATAAAAATAAAAAAAATAAAAGCCAAGAACTACATGGCTTCCCAAGTGAGTTCTACCAAGCCTTCAAAGACAAAATAATAACTATTCTTCAAACTGTTCCCAAAAAATTGGAGAAAATGAAATGCTTTCAATAAAATTTTATAAGACCAACATTACCCTGATAACAAAATCAGAAAGAGAAGATACATGCCAATATCCTTGATAGACATAGATGTCAATAATTCTCAACAAGCCTAGTTCTGTTTCACAAACCAAATTTAACAATATGCAAAAGGATTTGTTCAGGGGATTCAAGGATAGATCAACAACCACAAATTGATCAAAAATCTTATCTTCCTCTAAGGATGCAGAGAAAGCATTTAACAAGATTCAACATCCACTTCTTATTAAAAACTCTTCAAAAATGGGCAAAGAAAAAACATGCCCTTACATAATAAATATACAGGCCAATAACATAGCTAACTAACATCATTCTCAAATGAAAGTTTTCCTCTAAGATCAGATACAAGACAAGGATGTCTTCTGTCCCCACTGTAACAAAATACAGTCAGGACAGTTACTAACAAATCCTAGGGATTGGAAGGAATCTAATTGGCAGAATTATAACATCCCAATGATAAAAATGCTCAATTTTGAATAAAATAATTTGAAGCATGTAGAGAAGCAACCACATGTTCCAGCAATTTGATTTCTAGATGTTTAATGGAAGGAGACAAAAACCAGCTTGAAAAGATATCTGCAACTTCATAATCATTGCAGTATTATTTGCAATAGCCAAGACATGGAAACACGACACATCAATGGATGAGTGTATAAAGGAAATGTGATTGTAAGAAAAAATCTTGCCATATGTGACAACATAGTTGGTCCTTGGGGGCATTATACTAAGTAACATAACTCAGAAGAAGAAAAAACTCTATGATCTCACTTATCTGTGGAATATATGAGGAAAAAAAAAAACAGGTTCATAAACACAGAAAATAGAGATTGGTGGGCACAAGGAAGGGATGGAGAAGAACGGGTAACAAAGACCAAAAAATACAAATTTCAGTTTAAAAAAATAAGTCATGGGATTGTAATATACAGAATGGAGTTTAATACTGTTTAATATACAGAATAGTTAATACTGCATTGCATATTTGAAATTTGGCAAGAGAATACATTTGCAAAGCTCTCATCACAAGGGAAAAAAAACAAGTTTTGTTACTATGTATCATAAAGGATGACTCCTATGATCAGAGCAGAAGGATGAAGGAGGAGTCCAGGAGCCCTCCGTGGTTTTTCCAGGCTTTATTCAGGATTATCAGGTACATGGCAGGCAGGAGGTCCTGGGGACCTGGAGGCTGGCAGGCCTCCTGGCCCCTGGTCAATCTTTACTCTTTCTGGCCTCTCTGGCATTCTCTGGTGGCCTCTGCTTCTCTGCTGCTTCTCTTCCTGTCTCTCGCTTGCTTCTCCTTCTGGTTCTATTCCTCTCTTACAGGCCCAGTCTCAGCCTAGGTGTACCCACCTACATATGCCCACACCCCACTCCAGGTGCCCACCATCAGGCATGCATTCAGGACTGCAGTGATCCATCATCAACCCTAACGGGGGGAGGGCAGAAAAGCCTAACAATCATCCACCCCACAGATGTTAACCAGATTTATAGTGGTGAGCATTTTTAAAAGTATACCAATACTAAATCCTTATGCTGTATACCTAAAATTAATATGCCAGTTATAACTAAAAAAAAATTGAAAATAGCACTTCAATTAAAGTCAAGCCTTATTTTTAGCTCAGGTCCATATATAATTCTACTATATCTGAAGACAGATGTGCTTTCAGTCTTTGTTATGACATTAAAAGGAAATATAAATGTCTATATATTCTGTATTATACAGGTTCTATTTTTTTTTTTAGACTTATTTATTTATTTATTTATTCAAGCACTGGGTACAGTCAGAAGTGCGGGAAGGTGAGAGAATTCAACAGAGCCAGAGAGGGGAGCAGAACAGGCAGACTGACGAAATACACTGCTGAGGGGTGCAGCAGGTGAGACAGGAGAGGTCTATGCGCCATGTGGGACCCTCGGCCGGTGGCTGGGGATCGAACTGGTGCTGCAGAGGCTGCGAGCAGCTTCACAGCCCAGTGCTGAACCGCTGCACCACCAGGGGAGGCCCGATACAGGTTCTAATTTTGTCAATTACTCCTTTAGTTAGTGATAATGTGAAAGATGTGTACACAAACAGATTAAGCATAAAGCTTATGAAACCATGAATGCTGAGAGTTTCTTGTAGTGATAAAGTGGTCTGAAAAAAGGCATACTATGCTAGGAAACATTATTTGTGTCTCTGGTAAAATGCCATGAGAGATTTCAGAAGAAAGGGACTAGTATTTCTATGTCTTTGGTAACCTGTTGTGACATTTTTTCTATTCTAAATACATATCCCTTTTTATACTTAAAACAATAAAAACTAAAAATGCATAAATTCTTGGAACAAAATTGCATTTCAAAAGCAGTATTATTTAAAATAGCAAAATTATAAAATGGAAACCAGATTAGAGAGGAAAAGGTCTGTGTCCTAAAGGATAGGAAAGTGAGTGTGTCTATACTATGGAAACATGAGTGGTACTTGTAGTGATAAAAATATTCTGTATCTTGAATATATCAATGTTGATATCTTGTTGATATCCTTGTAAGATATTATAAATTAAGTATATATAGTATATTTTTTAGAACTACATGTGCATCTATATTATCTCAAAGCTCAATTTAAAAAAAAATGGTGAATGGGAGAGCTGTAAGCACATGCTACTAATCTTGGTTGTGATGATTTTATTATCAAAGGCATTATGTTGTGCACTTAAATATGTGCTGATGGGCCTCCTCTTGTGGCATATGCAGTTGAGTGCAGTACTGTGAAGCTCTCCGCAGCTGCTGCAGCATGGGTTCAATCCTGGCCGGCCAGCGGGAATCCCACTTTGTGTGGCAGACCTCTCCTGTCTTGCCCGCTGCTCCCCTCAGCAGTGTATTTCATTCAGTCTGCCTATTCTGTTCCTCACTCAGCCTCTGGTGAATCCTCTCATCCCCCACACCTTCAGCCTGTACCCCAGTTCTTGTATGCATAGTAATTAAAACTTAAAAAAAAATCACATACTTTCCAAAAAATAACATAAATATGTTCTGCTTTCAGCATATCAATTATACCTCAAGAGAGAAGGGTAGGAAGATTTCTCTTTTCCCTTTCTGAATAATTCAGGGTTATCACCACTAGGTAAACCAAGGAAAAGAAGCATCCACATCTCAAAGAAATGTAGAAGAGCAGTTAGAGAGGTGATGCAGGGTCCTAGAACAGTGTGTCAGAGCCAAACCAGGGTGAAGAGGAGTTTGTCATAGAATGGTTACCTGGTGCAGGGTGTGGGTATCTACATGACACAGCTGCTTGGTCCACTGAGTCCAAGTGCAAGTGGGGAAAGAGGGAACGGTTGTGATGAGATGTCGTTTTTATACAGATGGAGTAAATGAACAAGTAAATGTATTAAGAATAATGATACTCAGATTTCTACTTATAGGAGAAAGAGGTCACAAACATGGAAAGTGAAAAGAAGGAAACTAAAATGATCTCTGTGATAGCAGATTGCAGCTGAAGGTATTGGTGCGAACCCATAGTTGTCAAAATATATAGACATGCAGACAAATAAAGTAGACACGTGGATATGTTGTGTTTCTGTCATATACACACATATATCCCTAACCCAGTCCACTGAGCGGGCTTAGAAGCAGCAACATCCTAACACTATGGAGCACATCTAATACACTGACCATGGCTTCCGAATATCATTCTTCATTAACAGAATTGGGGTTACTTGGACACATGGCTGAACCTATGGCTGATGTAGGAAAAGTATATGATAAGCCTGAAACAAAACTTCCCTGAAATCAAATTCTAAAATAGTAAGCATTGTCATGCAAAGAAATGGTTATAACTTTTCAGCATATATGTAAACTTATCTAAATGATTTAAGGTAGATGAGACTTCTTAAAACCTAATATATTCTGGTATAATATTATTGATCTGATTATAAAATACAGGTGCCACAAATTGGGCAAGCATCCTTCTTTATTGCTTTATGCTCAGTTTTTAAAAATGTTTATTTTTAAGCCTTTTCTACATACAGAGATTACTTACTAAAATTCGTAATCAGAAAAATTCATAGAAAAATGAACTGACAGTATTCTGGAATAGAAGCTTGTCATCTTGTCTTGGAACTGAGAAAAACTGCAAAGCATAATGGAAAACTGAACTCCTAAAAATTACTAACATAGGAGACATACTACATGGGACTGAATATCCTGAGAAGAACTAATAATAATAATAATCGATGGTGATTTTTTGCTAATACTGATTTTTAATGTTTTGCCTTTTATTTCCAGAAAGCTTCTATTTGAAAATTGCTATGCTCTGTATCAATGGCAAGTTACCTGTTTTTATAAGAAAGCTGGGATAGGGCCTCTCCAGTGGCGCAGCGGTGGAGCGCTGGCTTGCAAAGCTGCCTGCAGCCTCTGTGGAGCCGGTTCGATCCCCGGCTGCTCCCCGGCCACCAGAGGAGGGTCCCACCTGGCACGCACACCCCTCCTGCCACCCACTGCTCCCCTCAGCAGTGTACTTTGGTCCTTCTGCCTGCTCTGCTCCCCACTCTGGCTCTGGTGAATTCTCTCACCCTCCCATGCTTCTGACTGTACCCAGTGCTTGTATAAATAAATAAATAAATCTAAAAAAAAAAAAAGAAAGAAAGCTGGGATATTTGCTTTTCTACTCTTTATCACCCCAAAATATAAAAACTTAAAAAGTACTGTACTTACTCATGGCAGTACATGAGTAAATCGTGTAAGACTCTTCTTTTGAATAAATCATGTAAGACTCTTCTTTTTCCTTTATAGTAAAATGACTAAATCTTTGACTAAAAACCAGAATGCTTTTAGAAATCCACTGACTTCAAAACCTTTGAAGAACGCCTAATACCTTGCTTTCAGACATCTATGTCTACCAGGAAGATTAAATAATGTCACTCTCTCTGGAGACATGGAGAGCCAAATACATTTTGGAACTGCAAGGAAAGAAATTTACTCAAAAATACAGGTATTTACAGGAAAAATCTGGGGATGACACCATGGCAGGCTCTCCTACCCTGAGAAGCAAAGAAGTAAGAGCTCAATATGAGATTTCTTGTTGAGATTCTAGTGAAGTTAATCTTAAAAATGTACAGTTATATTTTGTCCTTATTGTGCTTATGCAAAAGAAATGGCCATCTGTTTCTATGCAGGCATCATTCTTTCTTTTTCTCTTTTCCTTAATCAACTTGCCATATTGCACTGAAAAAAAAAAATTACAACATTGATTTGTAACTACAAAAGACACCAAATAATGAAAATATTTCTAAGGGAAAAAAAAAAGCCAAAATGGAGAAATCATACTCTCTAATTTCAGCTTATACCCCAAAGATATTATACTCAAAATAGCATGGCATTAGAATAAAAGCAGACACACCCACCTATGAAACCCCTTCAAATATAGGTACAACTAATTTATGTCAAAAAAAAAAAAAACCTAACTGCATAAATTAGAGTAAGGCAAGTCTCTTCAGTATATTATGTAGAGTGTCTGTAGAGTTATATGCAAAAGAATAAAACAAGAATACTGCTGCATACCATGCACCAAAGCTACTTTAAAATGCATTAAAGACTAACACACTTAAGACCTGAAATCATAAAATAATAGAAGAAAACCTAAGAAAACATTGTTTTTTAGTGATGGCTTTGTGGATTTGTCTCCAACAGACAGGGAAACATAGATAAACTACAGCGTTTTATCAAATTAAAAAGTTTCACTACCGCAAAAGAAACCATTATTAAAACAAAGACAAACTACTGAATGGGAAAAGATATTTGTAAACTGTCGATCTAAGAAGAGTTCAATATCTAAAATACAAAAGAACTCATAAAAATTAACAACAACAAGCCAACCCAATATTTAAAAATGATAGAGGATTTGAATAGACACTTCAACCAAAAAGACAAAAAGATCGCCAACAGGTCACATATCATGAAAACAGGTTCACCATCTCTTAGTGTTAGGAAAATGCACATCCAAACAACGATGACATATTTTGCTCCTTCACACAATGACATCTGGCTGAGAATGGCTATTGTCCAAATGACAAAATACAAGTTTTGGTGGCTTGAAACCGGAAGAAGGCTCCCGGAGGAGCCAGAGGTGAGCTGGGAAGTTTGCCCACAACAGGCCCCTTCAGGCCAGCAGTCCGAACCCAGAGTGGGAGTGGGCACCCATGGCCAGGGCAGACCGGGAGCGCGGAAGAGTGTGCCTGTCTCCAAAGCACCATTTTAGAACAGGGACCTTTCTTCAATAAAGACTGCTTGAATCTGGCAGAAGGCTCCCCGTGGAGACAGAGGGAGAAGGTTCCCTGCGCAGTCAGAGATAAGCTGAAGGCCCCCACAAGCCCAGTCCCACCTGGCAAGAAGTCGGAGCCCAGAGGAGGATCCAGAGATTTGGAACCCTGAGTGCAAATCAGCTGCCCCACCTCCAGGGAAGTCTGTGGGACTTCAAGACACACCTTTGTAACAAAACACAGAAGGAGGAGAGATTCTGTGACAGTGACCATTAACATACTCAAAGTACCACTGCCTCACTAGACTTCTGGCATAACAGTTTTTGACTCGTTTGGATTGCCAGTTTCTGAAACTTCTGAAAGAACACACCAAAAAGATGCCGGCCAGTACCAGTGGCACAGTGTCCCAACACATAAGGCAAATTAGAAGACAGGCAGCAGGGAAAAGAAAAACTACAAGCAAAGTAGCAACTCCTCAGAAAAAAGAAACACCAAAAAAAAAAAAAAAAAAAAAAAACCACCCACCAGCTTGCAACTACGGTGACTTGGAAGAACTTCTGAGCCTTCCAGAAAAAGAATTTAAAATTGCCATGATGAAAAAACTGATGGAAGTCATTAAGGAAAACAGCGCTCAGAAGAATGAAATTGAGTCCCTAAAGAGGGAAATGAAGTAAATGCAGGAGATCAAAGGATTAACAGAAGAGCTAAAGAATGCTGGGAAAAGCAGTGATAACAGTATAGAGGAAATGGAAGAACAAATAAGCACTCTCGATGACACAGAAATAAAAAGAACCAAAACAGAAAAGGAGAGAGAAGTACGAATGAAAAAGACTGAAGGATGACTTTGGGAACTATCTGACTTCATGAGGAAAGGAAATATAAGAGTTATAGGAATCCCAGAAGGAGAGGAGAGAGACCTAGGAACAGAGAAAATATTCAAGGAAATAATTGAAGAGAACTTCCCAAACATGAAGAAGGAGCTGAAAATTGATATACAAGAAGCAAGAAGAACACCAAACTTCCATGATGAAAGGAAAAATACAGCAAGACACATAATAGTAAAGCTCCCCATATCCAAGACAAGGAAAAAATAAGAAGCTGACAAGAGAGAAGAAACAGATAACATACAAAGGAAAACCAATCAGACTGACATCAGACTTCTCTGAAGAAACACTACAGACAAGGAGAGAGTGGAGGGACATAGTCAACAGACTTCAAGACAACAGATGCCAACCAAGAATACTCTATCCTGCAAAGCTTTCCTTCCTCTATGAAGAAAGAATAAGGACCTTCCCAGACAAACAGAAACTCTGGAATTTCATTACAACTAAACCCCCACTCCAAAAAATACTACAAGGAGTCCTAAACCCAGAACCTCAGAGGGATGAATAACAACGAAAGAAGACCAAAAAAAAAAGTTAGTGAAAGAATAAATAAAATCAAAGGAAAGACAAACACAATGGCAAATAGAGATGCTAACATATCAATATTAACTCTAAATGTAAATGGACTAAACTCTTCAATAAAAAGACACAGAGTCATAGGCTGGATCAAAAAACAAAACCCAACCTTTTGCTGTCTCAGGGAAACACATTTAGCTACAAAAGATTAAAATAGACTCAAAGTTAAAGGATGGAAAACAATCCTACAAGCAAATGGACCAAAGAAGAAAGCAGGTACAGCTATACTTATATCAGATAAAACAGATTTCAAACTCAAAAAGGTAAAAAGAGACCCCAATGGTCACTACATTATGATCAAGGGGACAATAATTCAAGAAGAAATAAACTCATTAACATATACTCACCAAACGAAGGAGCACCAAAATATATTAGACAACTATTGTCATCTTTGAAAACAGTCATCAGAGAAAACACACACATAGTAGGAGACTTCAACACACCACTATCAACAATGGATAGATCAACGAGACAAAAAATAAGTAGAGATACTAAAGCTCCAAATAAGGATCTAGAGTGCTTGGGCTTAACAGGCATCTATAGAACACTAAACCCCCAAAAATCTGAGTACACATTTTTCTCAAGTGCACACAGATCATTCTCCAGGATTGATCACATACTGGGACACAAGACAAACATCAACAGATACACCAAGATTGAAATCATACCAACCATCTTTTCTGACCATGAAGGCATCAAACTAGAAATAAACCATAAAAAGAAGGCAAGGAACTCTCCTACCTCATGGAGATTGAAACTCACACTACTAGAAGACCACTGGACTACTGAGGAGATTGAAGAAGAAATTAAAAAATTCTTTGAATTGAATGACAGGGAGGACACCAATTTCCTAAATGTATGGGATGCAGCAAAAGCAGTAATAAGAGGAAAATATATAATCATAGAGGCTCACATCAAGAAACAAGAAAGAACTCAAAGAAACCACCTAATCTCGAAGCTCAAAGAACTAGAAAAAGAACAACAAAAAAAAACCCCAAAATCAGTAGAAGAAAAGAAATAATAAAAAACCAAAGCAGAAATAAATGAAATCAAAACTAAGAAAACAATCTAAAAGATCAATGAAACCAACATCTGGTTCTTCAAAAAAAATAAATAAAATAGACAAACCCCTAGCAAGGCTAACAAAGGAAAAAAGGGAGAAAGCACAAATAAACAGGATCACAAATGAAAGAGGAGAAATCACAACGGAAACAGCAGAAATCAAAAGAATAATCAGTAACTAGTATGAACAGTTATATGGAAACAAGTTCAACAATCTAGAGGAGATGGACAAATTCCTACAACTCTACAATCACCCAAAGCTAGATGAAGAAGAAATAGAACACCTAAACAGACCAATTACAAGCAGCAAAATTGAAATGGTAATCAAAAACCTTCCCACAAACAAAAGCCCAGGACCTGATAGATTTACAAATGAATTCTACCAAACATTCAGAAATGAATTAGTGCCTATCCTTCACAAACTCTTCAAAAAATTGAGAAGGAAGGGATAATACCAAACACGTTCTATGAAGCCACATTACACTAATACCAAAACCAAACAAGGACAACACAAAAAAAAGAAAACTACAGGCCAATTTCGCTAATGAACACTGATGCAAAAAATCCTCAATAAAATTTTAGCTATCAGAATCCAACGATGTATCCATAAGATATTTCATCACGACCAAGTAGGATTCTTTCCAGGGACACAAGGATGGTTCAATATCTGAAAATCAATCAATGTTATCCAACACATCAACAAAAAGAAATATAAAAACCATATGATAATATCAATAGATGCCAAGAAAGCTTTTGACAAAGTGCAACACCCATTCATGATAAAAGCCCTTGAAATTCTTGGGAAACAAAGAACATACCTC